ATGTGAATCTCTATATTGATTTCATAAAATGCAATGGATAATGTAAGTTTGTAGTTTTGATTGTTATACTATTTCACTAAATAACACTTAGATGGTTAATTTTGACCCCATTGTTATACTACTTTACAAAATACAAATTCATATGAATATCCATTAAGAAGGTATTATGACTATGTAATNNAAACCAACATCAAATATCAATGAAATAATTGCAATGTAAATAACGAGTAACCAACGTCACACCCTAACTAACCAAAGCTAGAAAGGGATAAACACGACGGAAAACTCTACAAGAGCTCCCCTACAAGACTAACAAGGTCACCAAGGACAACAACCCGAAAACTATAACAAGCCCAACAAAACACAAACTAAGCAACCGACAAGAATGCAACATAATCAAACACACCAGATAAAGAAAAAATGTCTTCAGCTAAAACAACATCACAATTAAAAGGGTCCTGGTTTGCTAAGTTTCCTTTTAAGCTCTCATGCTCTATGAAGATATCAACTCTCAGCAAACCCAACTCCACCCCTCTACCTAGCCAGTCCCTGATTGCCAACAAAGAGTCTTCCATTGGATGGTTTTGCTGAGAATCTCTGTCAACTTACCACCTTGCCACCACAGTTGCTGTTGCATAAGCTATACCCTTATCCTTCTAGCTTTCTTGTTCTGAAACACTGGTACTGGTTGCATCAAGATGCCCCCTACTTCCTCTCTCATCCCAGCTCTCTGTCTTCTTTTTCAGCTTGCTCTTTGAACCCCTTAATGTTCTCATACTCTAGCCACTCCAATCATGCACATTCCACCATTTGTTGTTATGTGATCATCTTTTCCTTGAAGATCTTGTTGTTCTTTGTTCTCCACATCCACCATAGTAGATAAGTAGATAGAGCAATTCTATCTTTATCTTCCTCATTGACCTTCTTGCTACACAACTTCCCCCACCAATCCTCGAAACAAACATAATCTTTATAAAATTTATCCCAAGTTATACCAGCTAGTTTCCATACCTTTTGGGCTCTTTTACACTTAAACAATAAGTGCTCGAGATCCTCTTCTTTTTCTTCACACCAGTAGCACATGACTTCCCCCACTACCCCTTTTTGATGCAGTTTCACTCTTGTACCCACCAAGTTATGCCAACATCTCCGAAAGAAATTTCTCACCTTTGGTTTTACTGGTAAATGCAATGTCTTCTCCTCTATCTCTTCATTCTTTTGCTTCTGAACCACTTTGTATGCTTCTTTAACAGAAAACAGACCCTTCTTGTCAAAGTTCCAGATTAGTTTGTCCTTTGACCCTCTTTGACTGATGTGGATTTTCAGGATTTGAGCAACATCAGTAGGGCTGAAAGACTACAAGACCATTGTCCCACTTTTTGCAATTTTTCTTCTTGTCTACTTCAAAATAACACACAGGCTTGAAATTTGTGGTGTTTGGAATCTAGGGTGAATCCCAAACATTAACTGATAACCCATTGCCTACCTTAAACCAGACACCTAACTCTAAAGACTTTCTAGCCTCTGACCAACATTTCCATATCCATGAATCACTATCTTTCTTTTTTATCTCCATAAATTTCTGCTTAAAGAAGTACTTACCCCTACTGCTCTACTCATTAAAGTGTTAGTGTTAGTAAGAACTCTGATATAGCACTCAAGCACAATCCAATACACCGGTCTGAATAGGTAGTTCTGTTAGATCGGACTAGAAGAGCTCCCTTACATTCAGAGGTAAGATGCTCTATCAAGTAGCTCGTATATGGGCCTAAGTTACCGAGCTACCAGAAAAGACACAACCTTGAGGGGCCGACCTCCAAGAGCCCAACAAAGTAACCGACCTCGGAGTATTGAGCCAGGTGGCCTGGGGACATGTTAGACCTCGAGGCAAGGTCATGTACATCCTTGAAAAGACCACAACAGACAGGTCCAGAGGTCGAAGGTACGACCTAAGGATCCATGGACTAAAACCGTAAAGGGGAAAAGAATCTTTGTAAAAGAAAAAGAATCGGCGTTCAAAGACCCTTGCCAAGATATAAGCGTGGCAAGTTAGCGAAGTAGAATCTGACTGAATCTCTTCCCAATAAAAACTCTCCTCGGCCCCAAGGTACCTGCCCTATATAAGGGCGACAAGTTCTTCTCCCTACGATATCATATTTTACGCCTTTATTTACATACTTTAATATATACAATTTGAGCGAGTTTTGACTTGAGAGAGAGTTCTGACTGGAACGTCCAAAAGTTTTTCACTGGGAACCTCTCTCGGCGTATTGCAGGTCATCGGAGCTCAATGATAAGGATCGTTCGAGGCGTAGGTGTCCAAAACCATTCGTGACTCAAAGTGACGTAACAAACTCAACAGATTTGCTTTAGAATTAAGGCTTCATTAAAGTCTATCTAAACATGATTATGTAGAAACTTATGATATTTAGCTCAATTTTTTTTTTCCCACAAGATAAATCCACCTAATTGGTTAGTTGGTTGGGCTAGCTTTTGACAGATCTGACCGTATGTTATTATGCTTTTGAATAATTTCATACTCAAATATCATTATCGAAAAACACTTACATAAAAATATGACATTTACTATATAAACATACATTTCACAGGGGTAGAACATACCTTTAGAAGGCATATAAATTAGACTCATTTTTTATATTTAGAAGGCGACTCCAGTTTCTACTTAAGTGAGTTTCTACCCCAAAATCAATTAGTGATGAGAGAAGCAGCATACTGAACATATAATATAGACTCATTTTTTTATATTTATGCAATTTTGGACAACATACAAGTTATATTCTACAACATCTGTTCACTTGTGAGTGCTTCTTTAATCATCCCACATCATACTCAGTTAAGAGAATCAATATAAGTTATTGATTAGACATGCTTTGATACCATGTTAGATTTATAAAATTGGGACACATGTTCCCTATTTATTCAATGCGGGACAAGTACAACTCACAAGTTATATTACAACACGTCTCTAACTTGTGAGTACTTTAACCATCCAAAATATAGATTTGATTGACGTTTTTTGTTAACTATAGTTAATTTTAAAAAAGTTGTTGAGTTAAGTTTGAGTGTGTATTAAAATAATATCAAAATAAAATAATTAAAGTTAACTTGATGTAAAGTATGAAAAATGTGATTGGAAGTGATACGTAGTTCAAATTATATGAGTTAATGAATAGTGAATTAAAATTGATGTGTCGTGTAAAGATGATTGATTGATATTATTTATTATATTGATAATTATGGATAGTGAGGTTGAGTTAAAGTTGAGTTAAAAATGGTTAAGTTAGAAGTGATTGGATATTTCTAGGCAAATCTATATCTAGTCAATCGGTCCTAAATTGGGTTTGCTCTGATACCATGTTATATTTATATAGTCGGAGGAAAGAGTGTGGTTCCACAGAGGTGGAATACACTTTTACAAGGCGAGTTTAGTTTCCCAAGTGTTGTTCCATCTCAAACCCAATTGTAATGGTTTTTTTCTTTCCAAACGATAGATTTATTAACGCAAACACGTAATTACAAATGACTAAATGGACAGAATAGTAGGACTACTTGAGGTAGCCTAAATAACACAATACAATATTAAAGAAAATAAAAAGCTCCCACCAGTGGAGAATATACATTCCCAAAAGGGAGAAAAAACGCGCTTAAAAAGAAGATACAAACACAAACACAAACTTACACCACAAGACATCACAAAAACTACTAAAGAAAACTAAAGCACTCCTCCACAGCCGACAAAATACTCCGCAAAGCCAGAAAACTGACCCCGAGAGCAACCACCAAAATAGACAGAGACCCGTACCCATGCACCGAACCAGAAACTACAGTTTTACAACGCTTAACTATAGTCGAGTCTCCAGCCCAAATCCCTTTCCCAGGCAGACAACTCTCAAACCAGAGCCGAAGATCAGCACAAAACACCCACCACAACCGGCAAACAAGGCCGACAGGCCACCGGAGCCACCGACCCATACCCACAAGGTAGCCCCATCGCCCAGCCCTAGGACGACGGGAAAAACAAGGGAGAAGGAGAACCAAAAGTCTCAAACCTCTTACCCTTTCACCACCGGCAATCTGGATCAACAGAGTCGGCGCCCCGACATGAACCTATCGACACCCTCCGCCCCACACCAGGTAAGACAAAAAGGCAAGGGGAGAGGAGAGGCTAACCTCGGCTCCGACCACCGCAAGGCAACAACCGGAGCTTGCCGCCAGCCACACCGCCGGACGCCGAGACCACCTCATGACCTATAAGGCAACTTGCGATTGAGGCGAGACCCTTGCTCGACTGAGAAATCCACGACATGATGAGGGACCAGAAGCATGGTTGAAGGACGGCCAACACTGCGGCGGCGCGGAGCGACCTACTCGGAGGAGGCGGCCGGCGAAGTCAAAGGCTCGGGTTTTTCTTTGGCAAATTGGGGAAAATGGGAGAGAGAAGACAATTATTAATGGTTGTTAGTAATAGTTGGAGCAGTAAAAACTATATTCACTTTCCATATTTATTCAATTGTAAGATCATTCAAAGTGATATTCCAAGAAAAAAAAGAGTAGGAAAGGTTTTTATCCAGCTAACCAATAGACTGTCCGAATTTGTGGAGTTACTGGTTTAGTATACCTCCCTTCAAATCCTATCCAATCCAAACCATTGTTTTTGGCACAAACACTTCGGAGAAAACAACACAACACAACCCACAGTTCCTCACTGAACACTGTTCTGTTTGTCCCGTCACAATCTACTTGCTCTGTTGGTACTCTGTCTCGACCCCACAACCTCAGTCTCAGATTCCAGCAAAAACACATGAATGCATTGCAGCCCCTTTGTCCAATTGCATTAAAAGATTACATTTTTAGTTCTTTAGCTCTCAGTTGTTGGGAGGTTAACAGATTAACACAGCCACTCTTTAATGCCACCACACCACAACACTCTCTTAAAAACCCCCTCACTTTGTCCATCTC